CCAGCTGTACATGACCTTTCTTTGCAAAGTTATAGAATTTACAAGAGAAGCCCTAAATGTTCATTGTCAGCTCAAAGCTACAGAAATCAGAAAAAACGAATTTAGGGCTTCTCTTGTAAATTCTATAACTTTGCAAAGAAAGGTCATGTACCGCTGGGAGAGGTCTCATTTTGATCAGAAATGTGCGCGCTGCAATTTTGCCTCGTTAAGAAAGGTTTTAGAGAAGCTCTCATGTTCATATTCTGAATCAGCGTGGTCGATTACCTATAACTCGGTGTGTTTGGCTGAAAAAGTGAGGTAACAGTTGGATATGTTTCCTCGTAAACAGAACAAAAAGGTAATGGAGAGACTAAACGGTGTATTGCATAATATTACAGTAAAAGTTGCTCATGAACATTTAGTAAAATTTTTCCTTCTCAGTATAGTTTAGTTAGATCTCAAAGCTTAGATTTTCAACTCATTTTGTATTAATCTTTCAAATCTCTTCAAAAACATATAGAAGCTTAGATAGAATATTCGGACGATACAGGACAGTAGGATTGAGGAAATGCTACACACTTATAGAGAAAAATAATTCGGAATAATTTTAAAAATATCAAAACTGAAAGTTAACTTTTTTTTGCAGCTGTTCTTTTTTCATCATATGATTTTGATCTGACCCCAGCTAATTTTTCATTCTCTTGATGACAGATCTCGATCGTGTAATTATGAGAGAAACTATGTATAGACTCTTACTTTTGTGAAACTGCTACCTAATTTAACCAATGGTACCGATGGAAAGGATCGTTTTGGATTCATTATCAAATTACCACGATTAAGTGTAAACAAATTACTCATAACTAATAATAAATCAGACGTTGTTTTAACTGGTAAAAATCTTCTTCGCGGTACATTGATGCCTAAACATTAATTCATTAGTGAAAAAATAAAAGTTTCTCTTTGATAATTTACCAATTGCTCCTTCAAAATTTTTAATTGCAGCACCACTCGCTGTTTCCAATTGTATCACATTAACACCTTTATCCGTTGACTAAAAACAAAATTATGATAAAAAAATTAATAACAAATCATTTCTAATAAAGAAAATATTACTTTATTATTAACAATAATTTCCATATGCATTGATTTTTCTTCAATAATACGTTTGATAGCTGATAAATTTATCCAGAGATTATTTGTATTGAATATTCTATAATAGAGAATGGAACAGCGATCGTGAAGATGATAATTAACTTCAAAAACATACCGAAATTTGCTTACACTTTTAAATTCATCAACCTTCAAAGAATAAAAAAATAATAATTTATATTCCATTTTGTTCATCTTTAAAATGACTATTCTTACATGTTCTTTTGGAACTTGAGCTATTTCAAGAAGTCGCAATTTTCCTTGATAATTTATTAGTGTGCCACCCTAAAATTAAATGAAATATGGATAGACTATAGATATATTAATATAAAAGTTTGATGGTTACATCTTTTCCTTGCACAGCTAATGAATTCTTTTTACGATAAACATGCTGTCGGATAGCTTAGATATACTCTGGAAAATGAGATATTCTTAGCTCTTCGTAACTTTTCTTTTTTGACAGAACTGTAAATTATAATTTTCTGCATGATGTACAGAACGTTCCATAATTAAAGAAGAACCTTTATTTTTTTATTTTTGTCTTTCGGAGTAATAGCTGGAATAAATCTGAATACTGATTTGAATAGCCCAAAGATCTTTCTATGAGATGAGCTGCATATCGAGATTTTATAAATAAATTTGATGCTAGGGTTTCTAGAGAACTTGAAGCCCAGAAGGCTAACCACTTTGGTTTTGATAAAAAATTTTGTAAACCATACGGTCTTATAGAGCAAAGAGTTTTGAGGAAAATAAGATGTCTCTCAACCATTTAGGCCTTTTTTTCATTGAATTGCAGCTGATTTATGAAAAGCCACAAAGGGTGAACATCGCCAAAGTCTACGGGAAAACAGCAAAAATATGCCTTTGTGACCTTTCATAATCAACTGCAGTTAGATGAAAAAACGTCATAGATAGCTGAAAGACATCTTATTTTACTCCGAATCCTTGCTCTATAAGGCCGTTTGGTTTACAAATTTTTTTATCGAAAACCAAAGTAGTTGGTTCTCTGCGCTTCAAGTTTTCGAGAAATCCTATCATTAAAAATGTTTTTATAAAATCTCGATATGTACCTCATATCACAGAAACTCTTCGGGGTATTCAAATTTATTTCAGCTATTACTCGGAAAAATCAAAAAATAAAGAGGATTCTTTAATCCTAGACGAGAAGACACCAGTTTTACTCTTTAGTTATTTTCATGAGTTAAAATTATCATAACGCTTATTTAACATTAGTTAAGCAGACTGAGAAGAACGTTCTCTTCAAAATGAGACGTTTCACAATTCCTGCTCTATGATGTCTTTCTCAAAAATTTAATCAAGATTTCTAGAAAAGGAAATGTCTATAAGGGACACATTTGAAAAACACTTTTCTTGATGAACTCAACCTGTATCAACAACAACTGCATCAGAATGCATTCATTTGAGCTCAACGTTTTTTATTTGAGATACACAAGATCCTATTTCAGGCGCCTTCCTTTTTTTTTATGGGGTTTTCAATTTCTGAGTTTGAAGATGATTTGGTTTGCTTTGCCCTATTTTTATTTTGTGACTATTTTGGTTTTAATCGCACATATATTTTATACCGGTGTTCATCTAGCAGATGGATTGGAAGAATGGAATGATCTCTTCATGCTAGTCGCATCTTGACTTGCATGCCGAGCCATTCAGCGAGTAGAGCTGAATACTAATTCTTTTATGAAATGATTATTTCAGAAACTGATGCATGTTCAACTCT